GCTCGATCTGATTTCCGCTCCCGAATAAGCAACCGGAAAAGCGATTCCCCGGTCGCGTGCATTTGCACTGACGTCCTTAAGTAGAAATCGTCCGTGGGTGTGATCGTCGGTTCGTAGAGGGCCATTTTCCCCGGTCGCCCTCCCCCTCAGGGAACATCCTCCCCGTTCCCCTACCGATCCGTCACAAGTAATTATCACACATCGACCTGGAGATCAAAATATGCCAGGAAATTCGCCCTATTGAGAATCTGCCCTACTTCGAATTTTCATGTAAAATCCCGACGAATATCCAAATTTAGGGTGGCCTTCGTGTCGTATGTTGCAATCGGGGTACCGCTAGTTGCATAATGCTCATACTTGGAACTTGTACATAGTCCATGGACCAACTTCCCTGAAAACACGCAGAGATCCGCTCCTGCATCTACCAGATACTGGATCAGTCCCTAATGTCCCTGGTCGCCATTAACGACTGTCCATCTCGTTTCCCGATGAGGGAAATTAGCACGGCGATATGCACCGATGTGCCTTGGTTCCGAAATTTGTATGATACCAGTACATATGTAGCGGACCGCCGCCGAAAATTCTCGACGCGCGCGAACGCTCGCTATGCGGCACGAGCGAAAAAGAACATTCGCTATACGGCGCGAACGTGGAAGAACCTTCGCGAGCCCACGCGCTGGAACGTTCGCGAGCAAGAAATTTCGAGAAAGACAATTGACTATATAAATCGGCCGGTTCGCGATACAATCAAGCAGTCAATGTCCAGCTCTCACACCGAACACTCCAATAGTCCTCTATAACGCGGTAGTAGGCGGTTGCATAGAAGAAGGAGAAATTTTACCAAGAACAATGGGCTCACGTAGCGTTGTGGAAGGAGACTGGGGCGTAATAGGAAACGCGAGGAAAATCGGGTAAGCAGCGATAATGCAAGGGTAAAAGGGACGAGGAAAGGGGAAGCAACGCGGAAACGCGATGGAAAGCGGCGCGCGGAAATTTAAACTACGAAGCGATCGCGGAGCGGAATACTAACGGCGAATGTGCGGTAAGGGAATAAACCTTATGCGAAATAACGCGAAAACGCGACGAAAAGCGGCGCGCGGAAAACACGAAGTACAAAGCGATCGCGGAACGGAATGGTAGTGGTAAGCGCGCAGCAAGGGAAAATAAACCCTACGAATATTAAATATTAGATTTATCTTATTTATTTATTTAACACAACTTATCGTACAGAAATCACAAATACAAATAGGACAACGAGAGCTAAAGTACAAATATAGGCAAGGTGAGGCAACAGTCGAGATGAGGCAAATCCCAGCAATAGGGCGGGGGTAGGGGTGGGGGACGGAAACTTTACGAAATTTTCATGAACAGAAACTTACGTAATATCGAGTAGCATAGGATACATAGATGCGACAGGATGTAGTTAGAGGGTAAAACTTTTTAAAAGCAGAGTTAGGCATAGAAATAGACAGCGTATTATGACACTTAGGTGGGAAATGGTGGGGAGAGGTCGCGGTTCGCCGTATGCTCGAGCTCACCGGGAGGCGGTGCCGGGGGGCGATACAGGGTTAAGTTGGAGGTCAGTGCGTATGCCCGGGGGCCTCCCCTTGGGCCCTGACGTATCCTCTCGGGCCAAGAACCTTTGAGTAAGAGCATCCATTCCTCACACATGGAACACACACGCGAGGGGCGGGGGTGGGGGGAGGGAGGTAGTCTCTCTTCCACACATGCGAGCGATGGCCTAGCGCAGGGGGACCATATACAACGACAGGAAAGCCTGCCAGGCTGCCGCCACCCCCTGCCCTTGTGGTCGTGAACAAACGTATCGATACTACGTCGGTATAACGACGATATAACAGGAAGCTATTAGGTAAAAGTTACATCAAATAATGAATTAAGAAGTTAAGAATAATATTAAGTTTTTCGTAATTCGTATGTGAGAGATAAACCAATTAGTTATTGTTTACTCAGACCAAGTATATTGTATTTATTTTATGCCCTCAAAAAGGAAAAAGAATAAATTCACGAAAATTAATTGTGTCAACCATTCTAATGAAGCAAACGAATAAATTCACGTTTCAAAACGAATTAGTACCTTGTCTATGAAATGGTATAAAACTGGAATGGAATATCTAATGCAGTACCTCAATGAAATGAAATAAATCAATTGCTACGTACATTTAATTTAAAAAATACAAAAACATCTTAAATAAAACTTACCCATTGATTCATGGGCGGGGGGAGGAGGGCAGTCTTTCTTCCACAACTGCGAGCGATGGCCTAGACCAGGTACACTATGCCCCATTCGGTAAGGAAGCCTGGCGGGTTACCGCCAACCCCCGCCTAGCGGGGGCGGGAGACAGTTTTAGTGAGTAGGACGTGGAAACCGCCCCTCTTCTAGGGGCGCTGGAAGCGGGGAGTCTCACACTATCTGGGCTATCTTCCCAGATGTCCGTTACTAGGATTTCTGTCTTCCTAAAACAAAAAAAAAAACAAAAAAAAAAAGGGTCCATTCGGTCCTGCTTCAAGTTGGAACGCGTCGAATCGGGACCGTCCAATCGGTCGACGTCCAATTAGGCATCACTCGTTGAGAATCAATTACCGCTTTATGCCGTTCTTTTATTGTTCGGGTAGCAATGGATTCACTCAAACGTTCTGCCTGTTAGTGGCCGGTGATCGTTATTTGTATAAATTGGTAACAGATTTTTGCTGCAGAAAATCAGTTTAACTGGTGGCCATCTAGCGACGAGAGTGGTACTATTGGGACGCGATGAGAGAGAAAGTGCGAGCGGAAAGTGGCGAGCTGTAGCTTTAGCCGCTACAATTTTAATGTTTTTCCCTGCAAGTTCGGCAACTCTATGATCGCAAGGCTCTTATTCGATCATTTTCTTCCACGACAGGTCAGAAATATGTACAATTAGACATCGAGATATTGTAAATAATGCAAGAGGTACACAAAATCTATATACTCGAATACCTGAATATCCGAATATGTGTCCGAATATGTACTCGAATATTCGATGTTAATAATTTTATTATTTAACGAGGAGACGAAGTTTGTGCGTGCACTCTTATGTATGTAACTTTACTCTACTTTGTCTTTTTAATAACAAAATATGCCTTGAATAGAGATACCATGCACCTCGAAATCTTTTGTCCACGTCGTAAAAGTTTCAATCTTAATCCTTCTTAGGGTTAATTGTATTTAATTCATAGAAGACTTTTCCATTAAATTTTGCATTCTAAATATTTAGATGTATACAAAAATTAATGTTTGTATTTATAAAAAATTTTTATGTATGTCACCACACGACAACATTGTGGAACAAAGAATCAAGTCATAACTATATTTTGAATAGTAAATTATCTCAAGAACAATTGCTTGGTTACTATTAAATATCTAATATTGAAATAATTACATTGTCAAAATTAATGTAATAATGAATAATAATTTAATATCAGATATTAAATTTTATTTTTTAATGTGATAGTCGACATGGATTTTTGTATTCGAAGCAAAAGTTACTCTATAAAATATACAGTGAATGTATAGTAACTATGTTAAAACAAAGAAGTATGTAAGAAATCTAAGTCAGATTACATTCAGACACTTTTTGTTATCCTACCAATGTTGCTATTCCGCATCACACACATTATTTGTTATATTTATCAGTGAGATAGAAACTAATAAATAAAACAGATCATAGTAATACATATCTGTATGATTTAGAAAGCAATTTTTGTTATTCACAACTATACACAATACATCAATGAAAAAAGCAAACATGTTATTTTGTACGACATCTAAATTTAATTAACAAGGAAAGGTACGGAAGTGTTCCTCTCTGATTTTGATGAGGAACGTTGTATGGTTTTTTGCGTATAATAACAGGATGTTAACGAATTGTGCAAAATGTAATTTATTTATAATAAATGACATATATATACATATATATATACATATATGTAATTACATATAATTATATATAATTACATATATATACATATTTATAAAATTTTCTTCACTTTTTGTCACTATGCAAATTTGAATAAATTGTAAAATAAGGTTATGAAAAATTTGTTTGTTATAAATAAATTACCTTGTTATTATACGCAAAATCTATACAACTTTCCTATTAGAAGTTTTAATGTATCTCGTATGGTTTTCGAGGTAGCCAAAACGGGTCGAAACTTTAAGGAGGCGTTTCACCGCTTAAACCCGCGTCTCAGCCGATAAAAAAATACATGTCCCTTATTTTTGCCTGTTTAACAAACGTACGAAGTTTCATCAAAATCGAAGGAGGACACTTCCATACTTTTCCTTGTAAGACAACGACTGACAGTCGGACGCATAAAATATGGAGCACCATAGCAAAACTATTATGACAATTACAAACCAACTATTGCAAACTCTTTATTCTTTAGTACACTTAAGTGTAATATTACCATATAATAACGCTTTACTGGAAAGAATTAAAGATTTAGTGAAGCAACAAATTAACTCTTTATTAACTTTTGGAGCCTCATACAGCAAAACTGAGAAGCTCGTGTGGTCCTTATTTCTGCTATGTTGCTGTGCACACAAATAGACAAAGACAGCAGATATTTTGATTTTCAACTATATAATTTCATTATTTTAAGAATTTGAGAATTGCTTCACACCTATGAAGGGATTCAAGTTTTTAAAGACTTTTGAAACTTTTCAAAATTTCTCAGATGCAAATATGATTTGAAGTAATTTGAAATTTAACATTTTTTAATTGCTTGGAAACTAGTAGGACTATTTCAGATTCGTATCCAGAGTGTACATATTTACAGCAAATATCTAGAACTGGATTTGTTCCAATATATGCTCAGACTGTAAGCAAATTATAGCTATCTCTCACAAGTCTGACAAGTGATAATAATATTACATAAATAAAATTTACAAATACCAGCAGAAAGTAATAAATAGCAGGTCAAAAACAAAGATTTATCTTTTCTCTTTCATTCTTTTTTTATTTAATTATAAATAATACATATGTCTACGATATTTGGTATTACATCTGTTACAATAATTAAAAGCTTACTTATGCTTTTATTTTGAGTAGTTGTTAAAAGTACACATTGTGCATTAACATACTTTATAAACTGTACTAGAAAAAATTTGTTTGTTATTTATATAAAACAGTCAGAACCAATTAAAAATTAAACAGACTGGGACGAAAAGCGTAACATAACAGGAAAGAAGATGATTCTACGAAGAGAAATAAATAAATAATATGTACGTATATGACCTGGTTGTTATATCATAGCATTGTTGCTTCGTTTTTGTTAATACGGAGTTTCCAAAATTAATAGTAATATGATTCAAATAATACAATAGATTTTTACAGATTATTGTTTCGTTTTTATCATATTACATGTACTATAGCCAATGTAACTACCATTATTACTGATATAAATCTGTTCCAACTACAAAATAATTACAAGGTTCTAATGTATCTCCGCGTTTTAGTTTTTCAAGTTATTATTGTCAAAATTATCTGTAGTATTGCCGTATTTTATTAGATCTGTTACAAATTCTGTAGATTAGAACTATTCCTGTTCGGTTAAGTATTTGCAGTTCAGGACCTTATCTAGATAATCATCTACAGAGAAGTACATGAATCTAAAAATTCGAACAGACTAAGAGCCGAATGTAACTGAGATATCGATATGCTCGTCACGAGAAAACGATCTCATGCCTATAGTTGTAAAAGCAAACGTATTAAATGTTCGAAATTTCGGAGCTCATTGTGTTAAACCAATGAGGATAACGACAGACGTTTAACCAGACTAAAATCCAGATGCTTAACCAGATTTCATCATAAATTGTCCTACAGACCACTCATAATTAATGGCTCCTAACATTGCCCTGATAATAACGTATATGGACATATTAGGCAGTATGTATACAACGTGGCTGATGAAAATATTGTGCAACTTGAACAAAAAATTGTGCAAGAACTTGAAAAATTTTAAAGCGAATATACATTAAAATTTAGTATTTTTTTTTTAACTCATCGAGTGGAGTTATGTATGTAACAACAGTTGCGATGTTTTTAACAGTAACTGCAATACAATAAAAAAAGAACAATAATCCACAACAACTGGTTATATTATTCCAACTATATCACTGACAATGTTTACAAACTCTAAAAAGAATCAATAATGAAATGGCGTAACAACTACTGTTGGATTTAATCTTCACAAATCTAAACTGCACAATAAATCAGAGGATATACTGCCTAAGCTTAGTTATAGTCACAAATATAGAAATAAAAGTTATACCTTAGGCAATAGGCATATCATTAAATTTATTACATAACATAAATTTATATTGTCGTGTGCAGGCTCCTGTTTTTTGTAGCTCGAGGAGATCGCTTTTGCTATCTGTGCGTAAATCCGTCAGCTAGGACAGCCTACTTAAATTTAATCGTATATGTATTCCATAAGTTTTAAAAAAAAAATTTCTCGAAAATGAAACTTTGGACAATTCTGTGTTTACTTTTTCACGTAGAATCACCTGTATATATAGAACAGACAACAAAAGAAACAATATTAATTGCAAGAAGTAAAATAAGCACATACATTGATCTCGCATTTTGATATTCAACCATTAGAACTAACAAATATTTCTGATGTATTAATTTATCAGTACGAAAATTTCTTTCTATAAAATTTATATTACCTAGTTCTACTGGATTGAACATACTTTAGAAGTGCCATGAGTCTCATCCATAGCGGCTGCTCGTCGCTTTATACCTTCTAAATACACTTCGCGATTAAATAAACCCCCGCTGAGAGGAATTCTGTAAAATGTTAGTTGAAAAATATATTTGAGTAGTAGTTTTGTATAACATTAACAATAAATACATACGTATCAATACCAGGTCTAACAGTAGTTTTGAAAACACCCCATACAGGTTTGTGATCTGATGTACAAATACTTGGAACAGAGTCATAGACTAAACATTCTATAATTCCATCTTTATACGAAGAAGAACTTTCATGACTAACTCTTCGAATGTATGCTTTTGTGTGTCCTTTTCCTTTAAAGAGAATTCTGTCAGTGTATGCAGGTGTGCGCTGTTTGCTACTCGAATCAAAAATTTGTGTTCCAGGATCATATTTATAAGTAGGAGGAAATGTAATTGGCGCTTCTTCAAAACCACGTAAAACAGCTCCTTCATTAAGAATTGTTCGTAATTGGTCTTTATGTAAATTTATAGGTGATTGTTGAGGAAAGCACGTATCCGCCACCCACTGAATAACCTCTTCTCGTGGCTGAGTCAAACGAAAATTTAAATCACCACACCAAAATACACAATCAAAATTTTGAGTTACATCTAAAATAATAATATATTTTCAATACTTTCGCAATGTAATATCTATTAAGACAATAATAACAACTTAATGTAATAATATATTTATATTATACCTTTACTTTTATGTTTTGTAGGCAAATCTTTAGGAAGATCAAGATTTCTAACTATCCTTTTAATATCATGTATTCGTTCCTTAACTTTATCTTGATGTGCAGTTAAATGTGCAGTAACAAAGAGGAAACTTGTACCAAATAACATTAAAGCTATAGCTACTGCACCCTTTGTCCTAAAAGCAGTACCTGTCCTGGTTGAAAAACTGGCGTCTTCAGCAATAGAACAAAACCAAATTAAATCTCTCCTTAAAAAGAGCGCAAGGTGTAATGTTCCTAAACTAGTACTAGAAAGTAATACATGAGAAGGGCCCAGAGTCTCTTGTAAAGCTGCTTCCCATTCATTTCGTTCAGAACATGATTCTTGTGTTCCAATTGCTAACAAGTCGGGCACAGTTTCAATATCTGAAGGTAACATAAAGTCATTCAATTCTTTTGGTGGACTCTGTCCATTCATGTTCCATGTTCCAATAAAAATTTTTAATTCACGATTTGGTAATACTTTCTCAAGTTCTACTGGCCCAAGCAATGAATTTGCAGCGATTCTTCCATGTAGAAAATTTCTATATAAAAAAGAGAACACATAAAATTTATTTAAATAGGAAGATAATACTTTTGTATAATTAAGATTTAGTTAAAAGTTGATATACCTTTCTCGTGCTTTCTGTGTAGGGATTAAATTAAGAACTTGAACAGCTAACAATGCTTGTTTGGCTAAACTATCCATAGATGCTCTATTTGTTTGAAATTCATGGCACTCTTTATTCTTAAATAACGTATCATGAGATGTAGATCGTGATTTAAATTGAACTGGTGCACTCTTTACAGATTCTGGACTCGAATGTCGCATGGAATTTGTTGGCGAAGTTAGAAGTAGATTATTCATTGACCGCCTATGAAGTAACTTTTGCTTTAAATATACAGATAAACTTGGAGAAATGGATCCAGAAGATAAATTTTCACCTAAAATATGAAAATATTTTGTAATTATATAAAAATATATCAAATTTATTTGTAACAGTATTAAATATAAATGTATACATATGTATGTATTTCAAAATAATGTTTTGAAAAAATAAATTTATCGTTATGATATAAAGTAATATATAATGGTATAATTACTATTTATAATAAAATTTGAAACATTCAGAGTGGCCATAGCTAGAAAAATGAAAGGAAATTAAGAAACTGTATATGTTTCTTTTCTACGCTTCATTCTTTACAAATTAGCGCAACTTTTTACAAACATTATAAGTGTCCTAAATTTTAATACGAAGTTGACAGGTGTTAAAAATGTATCATACATTTGTCAGTGCAACGCATTTTTGTGCCTATTCCTACTCTGTCAGTTGTAACAGTAAATATACGAAGCGGCTTTCCAAACTCAACTTTCTTAAAAATTAAGTTGAGAATGGAAAAATTGCGTGGTATTTTTTTTTATTTTTCATAAAAGATTACGTCGTATCAACTATTACATATCATTCAATTGTATCCGGTGAAGGAAAGTTTACGTTTCTACATGTTAAATCTGCATTTTTCAGGATTTGTAGCTTAGAAATAAGCTTAAAGGATTCAGTTATGTGTACTGAAATTTTTGACAGCAGTTCAATATATGTATATAGTTCCAAATATATAGTTCCATTTAAAAAACGAAATTTCACCATCATATCTTTTACATTAATAATAGAGTCTCTTTTATCATGCAATTTCCATATAAACACATTTTCGTGTTATCAATAGTTCATGAAATATCGCGCTGTCACATTTAGGCATGAACGCCCTGTAGATACATATAGAATTTCCATGCAAGTTTCATTAGATGCATTTTGTGCACTACGAATATTTACATAAATATGTCCATATAAACATTATTTACATAAATACTAATATACATCAATGTTTACATAATTATGCGTATATATTTAAAACGGACATATGTATAATATATATTTGCATGTAAACAGAAAGAAATTAAAAATTTGCTTAAAGTATAAGAGGACTTGAATATATGACCACAGTGTTTCAAAATTAATCGTTCTATCCTCTAAATCACGCATGCTGACTTGATCTTCGGCACAACTAAAATATGTAGTTGTTATTTGACGTAAATTACTCAAATCGTTAGTTTTTACGAACGTTTGATTAAATCGGTTAATCCATTTTTATCTCCCATCAAATTCTCCTACTTCACAAAATATGGATTAAATATTTTGATTTAATATTTCAATTATATTTGTTTTAAATATATGGTTTAAATAGTTCTTCAGTACTGCCATGTTTACTTTTTAAGCTATTTACAATGCTTATAAAAAATGCATGTTTATATAATTTCATGCAATATACATATAGTATAAAATAAAAATATGTAAAAAAGACTTTTTAATTTTTTTTTTCATTTATCTACTAACAATATTAACTATTATCACATTTTTATGTTAATACAAATATTTAAAAAGTAATATGTTTTACCAGTTCTTTTCTCGATAATATTTCATGTGAGAAAGTAAAACGTTAACTAAATATTCAATGTTTAAAATTATGCAATATTATTTCAAGATAAACTTAACTATTAATATAAAGAACAAAACACAACAGTGACTGTTTCATAACTAGACATCAGATAAATAGCCGCTGGAAACGTCTTTCAATCGTACACGATAAGATTAGTTTATATTGGTATGTAATATTGCTATACCATTAATCTCGTTTAGCCTTCTCTTTTCGATTTATTACATCTAGAAAATACAGTTGTAAATTGAAACATGTTAATGAAGTTTTAAGTTTATTTTGTACGAAACATGCCATCTGGCCATGGAATCATCTCATTATTCCAATATCAAGAACAGTTTTTTAGCAAAAAATATTGATAATAAATCGTACATTAACTTTGTAAAAATTATTGTATAGGAGATACTTTCATTTTCAAACTTATTTTTAAAAAAATATTTAAATTATTTTTTGAATTTCGTAGAGTTTACAAAATTTAAACGTAGTTTTGAACTGCTATTGCATTTTATAGTATAATAAAGTCTTTGGGAAAATCTAATTTATAGGTGTAAAAGTTGAGGTTTTGCCTAATTATATAAGTTAAAGCAGACTGATTTTCCTCAGAAAAGTACAGTACTTTTAAAGTCAACATTTTCTTGAATTTTCAACATTTTGTTGAAAATCTAGCATATTTTAATAACACCCCAAATAACTCATCTGTGTAAAGGATACGACACTCTACAGGGTGTCTCAAGCAATAAAATAATTTTAAGAAAAAAAATACACCGACTTCGAAATGCACTAAAAAGTATAAAATAATTTCTATTTCATTCAATCATACAATTACGTCACAGATATGAATGAAACCTATTTACTCGTTAGGTAGTATATTAAATACATTTCAACCTTTTCGGAGGCGGCGCAAAATTAAAAGATTTTCTTGAACATGTCAACCTTTGGACAGCCGAACATAGGCAAAGCTTGTATAGCTATTTTTTTTTCTATACATATAACTCGACAGCACACCGCGAAGTAGGCGTTAGTGCATATAAAATGTAACTATGGTCTATCTAGATTCATAGAGTATGCGATGGAAAGACTCAATCGCCGCATATACTATAAAAATAGAGCCCATCTGCCGCAAATTTGGTAATTCCCGCGTCGTGGGCTCCGTTTATAGGTTCTTAGATCCATGGCTTCCACATGCAAACGAAGTCGATTCAATTTTATTTATATCAGAAACGATGCGAAATGAAGATGCAGTCGTTACATTTACGTATAGTACCAGATATATCTATAATGGTTCGTATTCCTTCTCAGAATTTATTAATTTCCAATACGTCATACTACAATCAACTGGTTATTGACAGCAATGTTTACTGAGGTATTTTTAACTAGGAGTACTGCTCACAGTGGAGTCTGAGCGACACTGACGCTGACCGAATAAATGTTTTTGCAAACTTACTCCCGGTTTATCAATAAAATATTCATTTTTTCAATAATCAGTGAGGGCGCTGCTGACAGCAAGACTTTAATAATAAATTAAATTCACTCAAAGCCGACATACTGTCGCTTCGATTCATTAGTATAATTAAGACAAACAATATTGAATTTACTTATCTAGATAAATTTTTCTATTAACCAACAATTTTTTATTATCCCCTTTGTTCTTCCCCAGAGCTCCATTTTGATTTGATAAACTCAATTCTCTCTTTAAATCCTCTTTGCCTTCTTATCAAATCAAGACGCTCCCAAGATGGATATGAGAGTAGTTCAATGTCTTCGAACCTTTTTGCTCTTGAAAATGCAACATATGTCTTGTTCTCCTCAGATGTGGCATACTTAGGCTTGCTTTTATGCAATGGTTTTCGGCTAAAAGAGAGTTTTAAGAAAGAATACTTTTATAATAAATAATCATGTGAAGAAAAAATATTAGCCCCTTTTCTTCCATTGTATATATATGTAGGATCGGAAATAATCGAGGTTGACGGATTACTAGTTTTTTTGGGAATAATAATAACAGAATAATAATTTTAATAATTTAACAAGAGTATAATAATCAACGAAATATAAAAATCAAATACGGACACTGATACAACTTTTCGGACGACTTCCTACTTCCAACGTTACAACGAGACTGCCTCGCGACGCCCGATCCGCGACGCCACGTCGTTTTCCTCGTTCGCCCAGGGTTCCCGCGTAAAAGGAAACAAATGCTATCTAATTCTTCGTTCCCTCGCTAATTTTCGCAGCAACTCATAATACCGCCGAACTATCTTGGCACCAATCGTCCACGCTTCCCGCTCGCCCGATCGCGCCCGATCGTATTCGATGAACCCCGAATAAACCGATCCCACATATGTGTACCTGAGTATGTCCTCCAAGAGAGCTAACTCGATTAAAAAGTTGTTTGAAACCAGACTCCTAAATCGTCTCTAAATTTTCGGAAAAGTATCTCGAATATTGTCTTCAGAACTTATGCTAGGCCAAAAAGAATAACGCGCCACTTCCTTCCTTAATTCCTCTGGAGAAAAAGCCGGGATACTAAAGATATTCGCCTAACTAATTAAACTGGTCCTTTCGATCTTCTCAGGACCTCAAATAGTCTAATGAGACGTTCACCAAGGAGAAAAGACCAGATTTCTGCTATTTCTAGTGAAAGGACCTCGTTCTGGGCTAAAATTAAGTCTAACTCCTTTAATTTTTATCCGATTTTGCTCAATATTGAACTTAAAGTTGTTTTTATTTAGATCTTGAAATGTGTGACGTTTCAAGGCTCTATCTATGATAGTTAACTGTATGAATCTAGATAGACCATAGTTACATTGTATACGCACTAACACCTACTTCGCAGCGTGCTGTCAAGTTATATGTATAGAAAAAAAAAATAGCTATACAAGCTTTACCTATGTTAGGCTGTCCGAAGGTTGACATGTTCAAGATAATTTTTTAATTTTGCGCCGCCTCCGAAAAGGTTGAAATGTCTTTAATATACTACCTAACGAGTAAATAAGTTTCATTCATATATGTTACGTAATTGTATGATTGAATGAAATAGAAATTACTTCATTAGGAAATAGAAATTATTTTATACTTTTTAGTGCATTTCGAAGTCGGTGTATTTTTTTTCTGAAAATTATTTTGTCAAAACGAACACTGACAGCCAAAACCAGATCGCTTAATTGGGGAGCCTGTTGTTCACTGGCTACTAGAACGACCCAACGATACAGGAAAAGGGTAGCAAATCAATTGATTCTAATATAAAATCGTAATTGCTGAACCGCCACCTAAAAGATACGGGCTTCAGTGCTTCAGAGACCAAGCCGCTCAAATGGGGAGCCTGCTATTCGCTGGCTACGAAACTACCCAGAGCAAACTCCGAGATGGCGCGTTAGCAATCCGACCAAAAATCAAATACATGTTTGAGTAGCTGAGAGCTATCGTTTCGATGTCTTAGCCTTTCTTGGCACTAAGTATAGCACTCTCCTAAAGGAGTTTCAGATATGAAACCGTTTGAATGGGGAGCCTGCTGTTCGCTGGCTACTAGGACGACCCACGGTCAAGTATCCAAATGGCGTATACCCGCTTTACCAGTCAAGTATTAAGAATCGTTTCGGCTCTTGACAGCGAAAACTGTTCCGGTTATATGTACTTATCTGAAGACTTCTTGCTCGCTCGACTTCGAAAACTGTTCTGCGATTTAGGCGGGTTTCGCTCGGCCTTTTATACTCGCAGCCCTGTCGATTTCTTGGAAACCCCCCATAACGTCGAAATATACATATAATTTTCGTATAAATTCGCAATTAAACATTAATTATGAAAACGAACGATTTAATTACATTATTAATATTGCATTCTACTCGGTAGTTTATGTTATTGATACAAAAATAATAGTTTAATAGTGTTTTAATGAAAATTGCATTTTTCATCTTCTTCTATATACTACGTACGAATTCTACACGGATCGGAGTTAAATGTATAAGCATACGATGCTTCTCGAACATTCCATAGCGAAATAGTATAATTTACAATATATGTATACATTATATTGAACAATATTATATTGAAATAAACTAACATTTGACTTTAGTTCCGGATAACATAATATTAGTAAGCTTGATGTGCATTGATTGACTTGTTTAACT